AACACCACCACCCTCCCGGGGAGTCCATTGGCCTCTGGGTAAGTTAAGACAAGGCCCTAGATTGGCAGAAAATTGTTTCCCGCCAATCTCACAGAGCAGATCCATACTCATAAATAGAAAGACTCCACCATTGGCAGTAGTTGGTGCCTCTGGCAATCTCAGTGCAGACTAAAGATTGTGTGTCATAGAGAATGAACCACTGTATCACTCAGGAGTTCTTGGGGTCTTTTTCTAGCACTAAATTTGCTTTTAAAGAGACCCTGTTTTTGTGAGGCTGAGGTGTTGATTTTGCACACTCTGGAGCAAGTATCTGAGCATTTCACCCTCAGAAGTTGGAAAAATACATATGCTTCCTCTCTGTTTGGGTATGTCTACACTTGTACCCTAGTTCGAACTAGGGATACAAATGTAGGCATTCGAAATAGTCAATGAAGCAGGGATTTAAATATCCCGTGCTTCATTAGCATGATCTCGCCGGTGCGTTACTCCGATGAACAGCTGTTTCAAAAGTGAAAGTGCACGCCGGGACGCGTTAGTTCGAACCAAACCCCTTGGTTAACGTTACTCCTCAAAAAATTCTGTTCCACCTGGGTTTCTCTCAGTGTTAAACTAGGTTCAGTTTTGGTTTGTAGTAGGTAGTCACAGAACCTTTTGCATCAGATACTTTCAAGATTATCAAGCCCCAGAATGGACTTACCTTCTCAGTTATCCTGCTCTGAAGGATTTTCATTCAGACTGCTAGTTAGTTGAGATGCGGAGGGTTTCAGCTTGAGGTGCAATTTACTGTCAGATTCATCATAGAGTTGCAATGTTAGGGCTAAGAGTGCACGCCTCATTTGTTTTCATTAGTTAAATAGTGACTTCTCTCTAACTTCCAGTGACCGCATGGATTTCCTCTGGGGTAATGAAGGAAGGGCTAATATATCCCTAGGATCCTGTAGCATAATCCTTCAGTAGTTGTCAGATTTGAGGCATACAAAGTACCCCCTTACTTTTATAGAGGAATAATCCCTCCCCAGATATCCGCAGGTAACTCACAGACTGACTTCTCAGCCAGGTACTGAGGTAAAAAAAAAATCATGTACCATTGATATGCAGGGATTTTACACTGAAACCATGTTCAAATCCTGGCTTGCCTTGTGCAACTACAGCAGTTAAAGTTGGGCCATCTGTCAGTGAATTCTTCTTGAAGATTCTCTAGGACTGAGGTGTATGGGAGTGTATCAACTTTTACCATGTTGTTTTTCTCCAGAGAGAGGGAAAGATCTCACTGTCCAGAGATCCTGCATTCAGTTGAGCTATCTTCCTGTCCTTAGTGTTCCCTACTGACAGGATGATTGCTTTCATTGGCTCATCAGCATCCTGCCTAACTAGATCTTTGAGCATCCATCCCTCACAAGTCTCAGAGCCCAGGTCAAATGATTTGGACTCATGCTACTATCAACTACTCAATTAGTCGATAAGGGGAGAAAACTGTAGAGCCACAGCGGAGTTAGCTCCTGGCCAGGAGCTAATCCCATTGCAGCTCTGCCTTTTAAATGTATTAAGAGCCATCAGGTTCTCAATACTTAAAAGACAGAGGCATGGTGGGAGGACCAGGTGTGAGCCAGGAATCAACTGATTCCTGGCTCACTCCTGGTCCCTGCTGCTGTGCGTTTGCTTTTTATATGTATTAAGAGCTGCTGGACTCTTAATACATTTAAAAAGCAGAGGTGCAACGAAGGGGACAGGAAGCAAGATGGGAATCAGCTGATTCCCGGCTTGAGCCCAGTTCCCTGCTATACCTCTGCCTCCCCTGCTCCCTGGATATGGTACTGGGGAAAACTGACTTTTAAGCTGCTTCCCCTCAGCACCGGCTCCTGATCCCTTGCTCCCAGCTCATCCAGCCTTCTGCCTCACTCTGACAAAGGCAGCAAGGGGATGGGAAGCAACTAGTCGAGTGACTACTCGACTACCTGACAAGGATATGTTTATCAGGTAATCGACTAGTCGCTTACATCCCTAATCCCAAACTCCAGCCACAGTCTAAACCTGTCTGTTATTTTTGGCCTTGTAATACAATGCCAAGTCAGTTGACTGGGCCTCTTGAAATTCAAGGCCATGGGTTTGGGATTTTTTTTTCAGTGTAGATGTAGTCATAGTGACCAGAGTGCTTGGTGAACTCTGGGTTCCTAGCACTCTGTCACATGGATAATCCCAGGATGCACTTCTCATTCAGCTGGGATATAGGCAGGATTTAGGCTTGGCCCCACTCTCATTCCATGGCATCTGGTCACAACCCTCAGGTCAAAAACGTGTATATATATATATATATATATATGATTGACAGTGGGGTATAAAATTGGCTGGTAATACAGGAAAAAATAATTGCTGCGTTTCTGTGTTGTATTACTGAATAATGGCACACACACTGGCTATTCTCACTCACATTTAATTCTGGGGCAAAATAATCTGAAATCAGAAGGCTTGCCCTCAGTGGAAGATTTTTAAACTCTGAACTCCTACAGAAAGCACAAGCTGCTAACAATCAACTGCTGCCTGATTGAATGATCCTTCCTGAATGACCCACAAATGACTCAAATCATTACCAAATGGGCTCTTTTGTAAACTATAAAATTTTAAGGGGATCTGCTGACATTCATTTGTGAGTGGTGTTTTTCCTGACTGTGGTAAGTCTGCATTACTTGCTTATGTGAGTGTATTGTATTGCCTGTGAGTGTTTTGTGTTAGGGGATAAGGTCCCCCATGTATTGTGGCTGGAAACACGATTACTTTTGCTTGTTATAAAAGTAACATTTGTACCTGGCCCTACTGCAAAGCCCCAGAAAGCACTCAAAGAACAATCTGTAGCTTGAACCAAGGGAAAGGTGGCAGGAGGGAGAATTCTGAAGATTCTTCATTCTAGACTGGGATGGTAGCCATCGTGGCTAATTAAGATTCTGTGCTAGCTGTGTTCTCTTCTGTCTCTTATTACCTGCTTATCACTTATGTCTATGCTGAGTGATTAAATGGAAACTGGAATACCAGGTATCACATTATGTTGGTAAGTGCCAGGAAGTATGCCATAGTTAACATTCCAGTCCTTATTCACCACCCAAATGCATTCCTATTTCTACCTTCCTTGTGTTATCACCACCTTCCCAGGAAGCAGGAAGATAATATTGTGTGACCCAGGAAGTTTCTTCTGTACTCTCGGTATTTTTCTGTGCTCTGGGGTCCTGTGTCCTCTGGGCTAGCTGATGGTCTCCTGAAACTCTGAGAAAATATATAGCACCTTAGTCTGTACGAATAATGGTTTGCACCTTTCATCCTAGTATCTCAATGAATTTTAGATCTGCATGTACAGAGAGGTACAGAGGGGTAAAATGTACCTCAGAGGGGTACATTTTAGATCTGCTGGTACAGAGAAGAGCTAGAAGAATGATTAAAGGTCTAGAGAACATGACCTATGAAGCCAGGCTTCATGAACTGGGCTTGTTTAGTTTGGAAAAAAGAAGATTAAGGGGGGACATGATAGCGGTTTTCAAATATCTAAAAGGGTGTCACAAGGAGGAAGGAGAAAATTTGTTCCTCTTGGTTTCTGAGGACAGGACAAGGAGTAATGGGCTTAAAGTGCAGCAAGGGAGGTTTAGTCTGGACATTAGGAAAAAAATTCCTAACTGTCAGAGTGGTCAAATATTGGAATAAATTGCCAAGGGAGGTGGTGGAATCTCCCTCTCTGGAGATATTTAAGAACAGGTTAGATAGACATCTGTCAGGGATGGTGTAGACGGAGCTTGGTCCTGCCTTGAGGGCGGGGGGCTGGACTCGATGACCTCTCGAGGTCCCTTCCAGTCCTATGATTCTATGATTCTATGAGATATGTAAATATATTAATCCAAACTGAGGTGAGGAACTGAAGCACTGAACTTAACTCGTTTGTGGCTACACATGAAAATTTTGTGGCAGAGTTGGGAATTGAAACCAAGGATGAGATTTGTGTGTTGCCTTTTGGAGGCATCGCATAGGACTTGCAGCTCTGGGAAAGGGTAGGCAGCTATGGTAGTGTTAGGCCACTTTTGTCTACAAGTTCATTCCTCTATCTCAGACCAAGGAAAGATGCAATAACAGAGAGAGTCTGCAGATTTGGGCTTGAACAAAGACATTAACTGGTTGGTGCATTACAAAGCCAATTTCTCCCACCTTTAACACCTGCGTTTCTGCATCAAAAGCTATGTATGGGACACATCCAGCCTCATTAACATGGGTTCTACAACTGACAGATACTTCTGCTGTTATATGTATCTCATGGTTTCTGTTATTTCCACTCCAGTTCATCTGATGAAGCAGGTTTTACCCACAAAAGCTCATGATTCTGTATATTTTGGTTAGTGTCTAAAGTGCCATGGGACTACTCATTGTTTTAAAAGTTACAGACTTAACACTGCTACCCCTCTGAGATTTGCTAGCGGACTGCAAGTCAGCATCCAGAGCAGTCTCCAGTGTCCCCCAAAAGGCACGCTGAATTCCTTCTCTGAACTGGGGCGCTTCTAATCACAGGTTCACAGTGTCCCACCCCCAAACCTCCTTAGAACGCATGATTGTAGATTACCAGAAAAACTTTGTTCCTATATATGCATCTCTTTAAGCACAGTTTTCTAGCTGAACTGCTTTGCTTTCTACTGCTCTGAGCTTGCAAGCTGCTTAAAATCATACATTAATGGAGAACCTATACAAAATATAACTTTGTTTGTGCTGTGGGGGTCAACTGAATTTTGGTTAACTTAATTTCCAAGTTGTTACAGCCTGCTAAGGATGTAGGCGTGCTATAGATATAATGTGTGGGGGTGGCTTTTTATTATTATTATTTTAAACAATACACGTTTCCTTTGATTCATGGCATTCATGCAGTCTCATTATAGTGCACATTTTCCGCCTTCATAATGCATCATTCAATTATTTTTCCCCTACTGGAATCTCGCAAACTATTCTCAGTAATTTCTTTTCATTTGTCTCTTTAGGTTGTTGTTTCGTAACATTTTATACACGAAAAGCTGCACTCGAGGCACAGAATGCACTGCACAATATTAAAACTTTACCTGGGGTGAGTACATTTTCTTTTTCAACCTAATCACTTGATCACTAGAAAATAGCCCCTTTGCTCAAGATGCTAGTTATAGGCTCTTAGTGCCAAAAATGACTTAGGTCTTTTTGAAGGAGGCTTGCTGACCTGATGGTTCACATACAGTAGCTACGCCAATTGGACAGCCCAGTAGCAATGACATTAGCTTTGAAGAAAAATGCTCCTATATAGAAGCTTTTTCAACCTAATCACTTGATCACTAGAAAATAGCCCCTTTGCTCAAGATGCTAGTTATAGGCTCTTAGTGCCAAAAATGACTTAGGTCTTTTTGAAGGAGGCTTGCTGACCTGATGGTTCACATACAGTAGCTACGCCAATTGGACAGCCCAGTAGCAATGACATTAGCTTTGAAGAAAAATGCTCCTATATAGAAGGT